TACCTGGATTTGTAGACTATAAAATAACTTTCAATCTTCAGACTGACTATAATAAAGTTTCTACTATGATATTATATAAATAAAATAAATAAAGAAATCAATCAATCATTTGATTTTTGAAGCTATTAAGGTCCAACTTTCCAAGTTTTCTAATTTGACTATAAAAATATTCTATAGCTTTTTGCGCAGAAGTATACAAAAACATATCAAAGTATAACAAATTATTAACTATGGCCATTATCTTAATCAATTGCATCTTGATAGCAATGGATTTAGAGAAAATTTTATATATATGTTTACGTGGCAGCATATAAATATTCTGTATGAGATATCTTTTATTTAACAAAAAAATGTACTGTAGTGCACTAACCAAAGTATCTAGGGTCCAATATAATTTAACCAAAAAAAAACTTATAAATTACCCATGGGTATCTTGATTGGTGATGGATACTTTGTGTAGAAGGGTCTTTTGCTAGGGGGATACTTTATATGGGGGATACTATGCATGACATTTTTAAGTAATATGAATAATGATAAAAATGAACATCAATGAACTTCATATACATAAAATTTTTCAAACTTTTTTAACCTTTCTTAAACTTTCTTTATATTTAAATACCAGTGTTAAGAACAGAGTAACAAAATATTATTTGTTTACCTTGACCTGTGGGTCAAAACTAAAAAAAAAAAAAAATACGGCACTACCAATCCGAAGTATCTTTGCAAGATACTACTTTAACACTTTAACAAACTTGGTTCCAAAGATAACAAGACATTAGCAGAAGCACACCACCACTAGTAGTCTCTAATAAAACTTGAGACAAACTTAGTATTAAGTCAATACAAACTATATACAAGAAACAGGATGGTTCGTGGAAACTTTAAAGCTCAGCATGCTCGTACAATGCAAAAAAAAAAAGAACATGGTTGGCATATGAAAAGTTGATAATAATCGCTTATTATGAAAAAGGATATAGTAAACGTTCAACTGCTAATGAATTTGGAATAGAGCCGAAGCAACTTCGGCAGTGGATAAGCAAAAAAACAGAACTTATAAAAGTTGCACCTTATATATAAAAGCTATCAAATGGGGCCCACCCAAAGTATCCTGAACTCAAAGCTGAATTACTTGAATGGTTTCGAGATGCTCAAGCTCAGCAAAAAACTATAAGCCAATTTATGATTCAAGCCAAAGCTTGCTCTCTATGTGCTGCATCCTGTTATCAAGAAAAATATGGGGATTGCAAAGTAACAAATTTTCACAAAAATGGGTGGACGGATTTATGTCTAGGAATAATTTAGTAAACCAAAGAAAAACTATAGTTGCCTAACACCTCCCTGAGAGTTATATTGAGGAACAAAATGAGTTTTTGTCTCTTGTACTTTTTAAGCAGCATAAATATAACTATTCTTTATCTTTAATCAGCAATATGGATAAAACTGCCATGGCTTTTAGTATGCCAAATACCACCACGATTGAAGAAAGGGGCACTAAAACTATATCAATTCTATCAACTGGGCATGAACATTTGAATTTTACTGTTGTTTTGGCCTGTATGGCCGATAGCACTAAATTACCTCCCCTAATAATTTTTAAATTAGTTAAAGTACTCTGTGAAAAATTTCCCAATAGCATTATTGTACATGCAAACCCTCAAAGATAGATGAACAAAAATGAGATGTTGTGGTAGTATTATCAATAAAATAATATATTCAGATTTTAGTAGATATTATAAATCTAAATAGGGATTTCATAAGTTACTATATTTTTATTATTATTTAATTATCTTGTTATTGCTAGGTGGGTAGAAAATATTTGGACTCGGCATGCACAATATAGAAATAACCCACATTTCTTATTAATTCTGGATTCGTTTACCGGTCATAAAACAGACTCTGTAAAATGGTGATTTGTAGAAAAGAATACCAACTTGGCTTTAATCTCTGGTGGTTTAATGTCTTGTTTACAACTTCTTGATGTCTCTATAAACAAATCATTTAAATCAAAGGTAAAATCTAACACATATAAGCAAAAATTAATTTTATTAGGTCATGAGAACCAATCTACACGTAGCTCTCAATATAATATACTCTTGGTATGACGAAACTAAGTAAAATCTTAATACAACGAACCTAGAGTTAGATCACATATAAGGGACCAATGTGAGACCTGGTTTAATATAAGGCGATAATATAATTAGCTAATTTTTGATTACTAATCAAAAACTATCCAATCGCCTCAAGTTGAACCAAACCTCGCATTGGTCCCTTATAATAAATTCTATATACTTGATATAACGGATTTACTAATATATTGCCAATTTCTTTCTAATTTTTCAAACAATTCATTATACCAAGAGTTACTGCATATTAAATTGGTATGGTCTTATGTTTCAAAAAACTTTTTTTTATGATCATGTTTATTAAAAATTTTTTAATAGATGCGAAATTTTTATAACCAATGGATGGACGAAGGAATCAAAGAATATACTAAGACCAGCAGAATGAAACGACCTTCTTATCTTTTGGTTACTACTTGGGTAAAAGAGGCCTGGGAAACAATTGATGTTAATATAATCAAAAAGTTCTTCAAATATTGTGGAATTGCTAATGCGATGTACGGAACCAGAACCCCGGACATCTCTCATATAGATCATACTTGCACTTTAACAAAAAGTCAAAAACTTGGCTTAAAGTCCGATTTTTAGTTTTAGCAAATTAATAATAATTTTAATAATAGGTTATAATTTAGCATTTTGTCAAAATTA